ACATAATACGATGTAATATATTACAGTGTAACTACTAACAAGTAATCCAAACTTCTTCTACTTTAACAGTACCTTGTAAATGTTTTCCTATATTTTAACACCGCCACATTTTATTTATTAATTAGCTTAAAACTTAAAATTGAAATAATTATGTTCAGATATACTACTATAGTAATGTGTTGTAGTGCCGACGCACCTACAAGGACAAAATATGTATTACATTTAGCTTATAATGAACCTCTAAATTGTATGATTTAATTCGGTACAAAAGTAGAATATTTAATAACTTAGATAAGTAGATACCTTTGCCATAATAAGTCACTATTTCGTAACTCTATATTTGTCATAACTCATAATTCAAAATTGTTTAATTTTCTATCGATTTCTGTAGTAAAAATTACGATTATTCTCATTAAAAATTCATATAAATAGATTTTAAAATACCTAACTAAGAAGATTGGATACTTAAGTACATATTATAAATTCGCAAAGATAAGAAGCAAATAGGCTATTTGTTCAAATACCAGAATAATGAGCAGTATGTGATCTTGAGTTACCATTAAATGTTGTATGTGTTACATTATCCGTTTTCCCCTTTTCTTGTCATGCATGTGTGTATAAATATCAAAGTTAATCAAATATTAAAATATACATAATATGTTATTACAATACATAATTAGATAATTGAATATCTAAAATTCTAAAATACATAAACATCACCTTTATGAGCACATTGATATGCTAATGATATCAGCCGTAACTCTAAATAAATGTGTATTTATTGGTTTTCATCATTTGATTCATATATATCAGCCAATACAAGATGATTACATATTCGAATTTTTTTAATAATTATTTACGAAATATGCTTACTTATTATAAAATTATAGGAATAGAAATAAATATAAACATATATCATTTTATTATCAGTTTTAATCAAATAAACTCTAAACCATTATTTCTCAAATAACCTGTTGTTTTTTTTTATTTTTCAACTCTTCTCACTCCTTTTTAATACAATTAACAACGTAAAAAACTAACAGGACCTAGCTAATATCATGCCATTTTCTTAAACATGCAATTTGTTGACACGCTATTTAAGCAAACAAAAAAGGGGGCAAATTATTTCTGTAAATACAATAGGTGTAATCATAGCGGGAGTTTCGATTACATTTTAGGAGAGGGGGGGCTTAAAATATCTTCCTACACAAAATGAGCCAATTAATCACATACAATTTAAATGACTATTATAATTTCGGGAGAGCTTTTAATGATTTCTAGCTTCTAGGGTGGGCTAAGCCCCCAAATGTCCACATACGAATATATTATTATTCGTAATTGCATCGCAAATATTTTCCATATAACATTCATCGCAAAAAACAGTAAAAACATTGAATTTAACTAGTTGTATACAATATGCGTAAGATACGTTTACAACATATATTTTAATAAATAATAATAAATATACTATTTTATAGGTAGGTAGGTTAAGCTCTGTATTCTGAAATCCATGACTTTTTATTACTATTTTATTTGATTATTCGCGCTGTATACAATTCAGAATCGAATACGAAGGCCAAAAGTATATATATTATGTCGTAAGGTATATATATATATAAGAGGATAATATATCGTATTATTAATAAATCTTTTAAAAGCGTGTGTGCGAGAAACCACTCGCGGTTTGTCGGATTGGAGTGGCGCTGTGGTAGGGGTTGTTTTTCCTGCCGGAGGGATTTATATTTCCAGCTGTTATCTACTCGTACAGCCCGTACCGTGGCTGTGTATTATATCGGACAGGGATATATAATACACGCACACTCACACACACACACACACACACACACACACACACACACACACACACACACACACACACACACACACACACACACTCATGTATATATAATAATAATAATAAACGTGTAGTGTGTACTCGTATAATATGATGTGTGTGTATGTATTCGCAATGGCGGCGGCGTCCGGGTAAGGTTAAGACGGCGGCGGTATGGAGGGATGTTTGTATATTGTACGGGTCGGAAGGAGAAAAAAGAGGATGAGGTGGAGACGATGAAGAAGACGGAGAAGAAGGATATAACACACATAACGCGCGGGGCGTCATCCGTTCCGGCCACCATGAATAGCGCCGCCAGGCTCCGTCTTGTAGATTTCCACTTTTATTGACCTCCCCACCCCTCGCCATACGCGCGAGAGTACATACACACACATATTATTATACTCGACTGAGGAGACCTTAAGGACTTGGGTGTGTGTATGAGTGTGAGCGTGTGAGTATCTTTCACTTTTTTTTCTCCATTTTTTCCTCCTCTCGAGCGAACCTCTCCGGAAAAATATGCGAAGGAACGCGCGGGGGTTATATATGTGATTTATGGTCATCTGCGGTAATAGTCGTTAGGGTTTTCTCGGTGCCCTCGGTCAATATGGATGGCGTATGATAAGAGAGAGAAAAAGAGAGAGAAAAGTCAGCGAAAGAGACGGAAAAGCGAGAGACGGAGACGGCTGAGAGCACAGATAGACAGCGACGGGGCAGGATGTGCGTGTTATTTTTTATTTTTTTACGACGGTCTACAAGATATTTTCACGAACCCCCGGATGAGACGAGACAATAAAAACTCGAAGTTTCTATATTATACATTTTTTTTTACGACGGATTTTTGATTTTTGCATTTTTATATAAGACGTCTGTGCGCGCGGGTATTTCGTGAACAAATTATACATTCAATAGAAATGCGAAAAACTCGCTCAAAGTAATAATAATAACGCACTATTGTTTTATGATCAACCGGGGACCCGATTTGGTTCGGAGATGAATAAAAAAAAAATTGAACCTGTCATGGTTTAAAAGTAAATTATTGTAGCGAGACGATCGCAATAAAAACAACTAATGTTCAAGTTGAACTTTGGCTTATCGTACATTTAGTGGTTGTTTCGCTAGAACTTAGACGTTTACAGGGTACGACACCTATATTAAATGGGAGTAAAGTCTCGTTTTATATTATATATATTGTATGAACATTGAACAGCATTGTACATAATGACAGTGTACCTATATATAATGGAAGTCAAGCTTTAAATGTTCAAATATGGTCCGTTGGTAAATATTTAACCCCTTTTTGAAACGTTTTATTCGTTCATATAAAATTGATGTATATTACGTATTTGTCAATTGTTATTATTGTAGTCATTTTTTCTTATTGATGTTTAAAATAACTTTATATCCCTTTAGATTTCTAAATATATTTAATTAACACCTTGTATCTCTCCGTCCGTTAGTTACCAGGACATAGTTACGTTTGCATTTATAAATATCGTTAATTTGTATTTGATTATTCATTTTTGTGTCTATAGTTACTGCACATAATATAATTGTATATGAAATAATAATTTATGCTATTATTTTTATTGAAATACGTTTTGAAATTGAGAATTTAGCACGCAAACTGAACTCTTCCAACTTGTTTTAATTTATCTTTACAATAACATATCTTATCAATTTTGGCGTTTCGTATTTATAATGTTTGCAATATTCCTCAGTCGTAATTACTTCCCTATATGAGCTATGTATAATAAAAAAAGTAGAAACTCGATTTTTAAATTTCTATTATAGTGCCGTCAACATAGTAAATAGAATATAATGCAAAGTGAGTACCTAATGAAAGTTGTTTTTATAGTTTTTAAAGTTTCGTATTGCACCTCATACATCGGACATTTTATCCTGACGGTACTTTCATTCTTGATTTTTCAAATTTCTTATTACCTATAACCATAGTTTCCTATAGTCGCCTTACAAGATAGTTCCTAATTTTGTTCTTGAACGTAGCTTCATTTGTTATATTTACAAACTACTTGTAACTTATATGTACAAAAAGTAAATTTATTAAGACAACAATGATGGGGTTGAATGTAATAATTTTAACTTGGGTTTATAATCCGCAGTTTAGATACCCTTGACTGAATAAACTTAATTTGGTTAAGTTGATCTTTGAGCCAATTCCGGTTTAGGCGTCTTCCTTAATATCCCAGGAGTATTTTTCACAACAGCTTTTAGACGAGAAGGTTTGATTGAGAATCTAGTTATGAGTGAGATCTTAGGTAATGAGTTATTACGAAAGGTTTTGTTTCCGCATAACAGTACTTATTTATGTTTTAATGAAGAAATTAATTTTAAAAAACACGGAAGATTGTTGATGATACATTTTGAAGGCACATTATCGATTGAAAAGCTTGCAGAATTTATATTTAGTTGGAAGATATATCCCTCCAAACAGTTAAGCCCCAAACAACATTCTGAGAAACCATATTAGCAACAAAAGTAACTTAATATGTAGTTTACAAGTTTATTATATAAGGGCCTAAATGTGTACCTATAGTATACAAAGAAAATTTTGAATTTTAAGGTGCCTGATAAGATAAAATTGAGAATTGATTTGTTTTTCTTTTAAACGCGGTGACAGTATTGGACGTCGTTCAAGTAGTAAACTAGTAACTTTAGATATATCGGGCTTAGGGTTTTCAGAAAATGCTTCATTATCGATGTTGGTATCTGCGGGCGACAATTTGGATCTAGTTTTTACTTTTTGAGATGAAAAGTGATAAATTCAAAATTCATGGAAAATGAATTTTTTATTTATAGGTTAGGTTCATTATCATACCATTTGAACAAAGCAAACACTGGCTTTTATGTCTAGTTTATAAATTAGTATTAGTACAGAGTAATATAATATACGAGTAACTCGCATAAGTGAAAGTTCGAAAAGTGTTAAATTACTGAATATTTAACTTGATCTATAGTATAATATAGCGTACATATAATATATTATATTATATATAGTTATAAACTTCTAAAAGGCACACTGTTTTTTAAAATAAATGCGAAGGAAACATAATATGGGAATATTGGAAATGATTTATAAAATGTAGACATAACCTACACAAAAATAACAAATTTAGATATTGAAACTTTTATTTATTTTAATTTAATAATAATTCTAAATAATATTATCAGCAGGTTTTTCTAATCAATACTAACAATAATTTAGCGAATAACAGTTTAGACACTTGACTTTCTATGCATGCATAGCAAAAGAAGATATAATAATAAATGATTTTATGTATCTAATGGTTATATTATATGATACATAATATGAAACATAATTTAACATAAAACAAAATAAGAAATAGTAAAACGCTAAATAACGATTAATTTCAATAACAATATTTAGATTAAATAATATTTATACAATAGAAAATACACTTAAACATTATTAATAATATATTGACACACTCGATTAATATTTAGTTGGAATTAAAAACATGACGAACCAATATTACATTCAATATAGTAGCTACCAAATTAATATGTATATAATTCACGAACAGAGGATATGGAGCCTAATATTATTATTGAAACATTATCATTAGACGATGATACACAAACTAAATGAATATTATATTTTACAATTTATCAAAAAAGATTAGTAACAATCATAATAATATACACACACCCACGCATAAATCTATACTATATTTACGAGTTCATTGCATACGTCATGACGTGATATCACGCAGGGAAAATGTTGTGTGTGAATATATAGGTAACCCTATACAGCTGATGTATAATATTATAGAGAGATGCATTTTAAAATCACTATCATTTGATTTCGGTCCATTTAATTTTAATATTAAAATTATACAAACAGTGATCACGTGACAATATTTATTAAGGCCAAAGGGGCATTTTAATCTATTTATCGGACCCCATTACAGAATTAAATTTATCCCCACCCTTCGTCGACCAACCCTCGTGGACACGGTTAATTATTACTCGTATTCGACTATGATTTGTATGGACATTTGTCATTTTTGTCGACCCTAATGGTCACCCTTGTTTTCGCATTAGAGGGTAAAGTGTATATATATATATATGACGTATATGCTGCGCAAAAAAGAAAACTACAAGACCGGCCAAAATCAAATTCGAGTAAAATAAAAAAATATGAACATTATCCATGCAAAGTAATTGAAAATTATTACCGTCTTGAACGCAGCTAATTTTTAATCCTATTTGAATGCGAATTAGCGTTAGGCTACACAATTCTATAACATGAGAAAAACACATGTGGCAAAAAAAACAACTGAGAGGTACCTATATAATACGTTACGATGGGTTTGTTTAATTTTAATTTTAATTCTATAAAACAAATCTCATTAACTAAAATTATGAGATCCGAATGAAATATATTATAAAGAAGGTATAGATTAAAAAATGATCATTCTATATTATTTAATAAATTACATTGATTGCGGTTAATAGGTTCGTTTCTATAGTTTGGTTATATGTATATTGTATAAGGTTGTGTTGTATAAATGAAAAATAATTTCGATACATAAAACGATTTGATTAGTTTTATGATTTTAAGATATTAAAATTTAATTTATTGTGAAAGCTTCGATAAGGGGGCACTAGTGGGTCGTGATTCGTGAGTTGTTCGTAAGAAAAACTCAATAAATCAATTAAAACGTAAGTAGGTATATAAATACATGTTGGTCTATATATACATTTACAAGAGTCTTCTGGGTGAAAAGATCTTCGTGTGAGGAGGACCTGTAATAATAACAGTATAATATGTGAGTGGTTAGTTTTTGTTCTTCGTACACTTAAGATGAAAGTTCACTCGATACCGGTCGAACAGGTACACCACTGTACACCGTTTGCGGTAACTTGGTATCTCCTCAATCATAATATGATAATATGTACCGTTTGTACCTAAGCGTAAGAGCAGTAAGATTCGCTCAATGTATTTGGAGGAATGAGTGGGTAGGTGTGACGGAGTTGCGTAAGGGTATGAGGAGAGAGGAAAAAAGGGACCTTCTAAACGCGATGGTCGTCCGCAAAGCGTGAGTACGAGGCATTGCGCCTCCGTCCGCCCGCGGCCGCCTTGCGTCATTTGGCCCCTTGGTGCTGGTGCGTCTGGTGGTGCTGTTGCTGCAACGGCGCGTCGTCCTCGTCGTCCAGCCGGTCACCCTCCTTGTCCTGATGCGCGGTCATGTGCCGCGTCAGGTGGTGCCGTTCCCGGAAGCTCTCGTCGCATACTGGACACCGGAGCTTGTCCATGTCCCGTCGCTTCTTGGCGTCTACACCGACGCCCGCGCCTCCCGCTCCCACTCCGCCACCAACACCGCCGCCTACACCGTTTCCAGCGCCAACGCCACCATTTCCGTCACCGCCTTTGTGGTGCGACCGCATGTGGTACACGAGATCGGACGTCATGCGGAAGCTCACGTTGCACTTAGCGCACACGTTCTGCGACGGTAACGTGAGCGCTGCCGCGGCAATGGACGCGGGCAACAGCATGGCCGGAAGAGCGGCCACGGCTGCTGCCGCAGCCGCCGCCTGCCCGAACTGCAACGGAGATGGTGACGACATCGACTGCAGCTGGTGGTGATGGTGGTGCTGTTGCTGCTGCTGCTGCTGCTGTTGCTGCTGATGGTGCTGGTGTGACTGCGGTGATGGTTGGAGAGGCGACGCGTAGTCTTTGCAGCCAACCGCGGTGGGTTGCGGCCGGGGCGGCATCATCAGCGCAAACGGTGACCGGAAGCCAAGCGGAAACGGTGACATAAAGTGCGCCGCGACAGGTGGCAGGGGTGGGCTGAGGCTGCACTCCTGCTGAGACTGAAGGTGATGTGGGTGGAGTGGTTGCTGCTGCAGGTTGTGATGTTGCTGGTGGTGCAGCTGGCTGTGATGCATGTAGGCTGCAAAATCCGAAGGTGGTGGCGTAGCCGGAGACGAGGCAGGCGACAATGATGACGGCGGATCCGGTGACACTTTGGTGAACGCCGACCGGGCGATGGGCTGAGCGGCCTGCATTGGCCGGGGCCTTCGCTTGCTCAGGTCATCCGGTGCCATTAGGAACGCCACGTCAAAACTCCGCTTCTGTGGCCGCTGGTGCAGCGCGACAACTGCCGCTGGCAACGACGTCTGCACCGGCTGCGCGATTCCGGCGGCCACTGGCGGTGAGTACCGCGATGGTGGTGACGATGACGCGGCCGTCGTCACGTTTCTGTGCTGATGGACGTCCATTGTCATTCTGCTAAACCGGTTGTAATCTGAAACCATCAGTTGACACATGAGATTATCGTTTTTAGTCACCATCGTGAGTATGTTATAATACACTCAAAAAACATATAACGTAATTGGTATCTTGCATTCGCAGCTGATCAGGACAAATTCAATAAATAAATTCAATGCACATATACTATATTATATCATAGACTGATTAAAGGTCGGAAAAGGATGTAATAATAACAGTGATCAGAATAATTTATTAAAACATAATATACAAATCTTTAAAGAGGAATTTACCAGATACATTCCAGAGTATGGTCCAGAATATGATACTACAACGACTTTAAGAAAATAATTCGTAATAATTCGACCTTTCAATGTCGGAGCCCAGAATGTTTCTGATGAAATGTGCAAGAAGAATCGATAGAACTTCGGAACGACAGAAATAGTGAGCAAGGTTTTTCTCCGCTATTAACTATAAACAAATAACAGAGATATCGTCTGAATCTAAGTAGCGATATGGGCAACAGCATCATTCCAAGGATCCTACAATCCTCGTCAAAGAAGCTCATGTTAATAAGTCACATAAATTAAGTAATTATTTTTACCTTTATTGTTTTTTTGAATAAAAATCTAACAATTTAAGTTTGTAAAATGTTATTTCAATATTAATTAAATACCGAAATTTGAATTTTTATATTTTTTTTACTTAATTAGTCTGATGTCAATAAAATAAGTTAAAATATTTTTACAAAATATAAATTGTATTTCTGATTTTATTATGTATACTTCTGTACTATAGAGATAGACTATAGAAATAGATAGTAGGGAAATTAAATCGGTGTCCGTGAAGATGAAAAATTTATGAATGTGGTCCTCGCCTTGTCGCCTAGTATTGAGTTGGAAACCACTGCGTTAAACAATGGTCCTTGAACGATAGAGATAGTTGTAGATGTAGGTATTTATTTGGTGGTTACAAATTACAATGACCAAAAACCGACGAAAAAGAAGAAGGACGAGATCAATTATTGTAGGTAATATGTAAGAAAGTATATCTTGATCAATTGTTTAAATTTCCTTGTTAATTCAAATGTACCTAAAAAAAATTCATAGTCCATTTAAATAGTCAGGCACAAAAAAATACAAACTCCATATAAACTATACCTGTACACATGTTTAGAGTTACAAAGAAAGAATAGAAGAGAAAATAGCTTAGCAACTGAACAGTTATTGTTGTTAATTGTACAACACCTAACCAACAACCGAGATGTTGTGACAATGTGACCTGTGTATTGATAATACGTTTTGTAGATCCTAATCGTTTAACGGAACATTATTACAATATAATATATTGTGTTTTGACAACGAAAACGTGCTGCAGCCGTAAAAGCCGGTGGTAAAAAATGGTTCTTGTAATACAGGTGATGGAATTATAATTTAACGACATTGGCGTGCAGCGTATTCAATTACTTTGTTACCCCTCAGTGTAGCTCGGTGTAATAATGTAATAATATCATGATTGTACACCGGGAAGAATACCGGAAATATTTCCCGCGTATTCGTAACGATTGAAACAACTCGACGACAGACTTAACGTTATTCTTCGTTGGAATGTGTGTTCGAAAACGATAATAATTGACATTTCTCTAGTGAATGTATGCACATTAAAATATTATATTTAATTATACGTCATAATAATCTGTATATTATTTATTTGTTTATTTATTTTGTAAGCATAAACAATTTTTCCTATCTTTTTAACCGTATAAGTAGGTAACTTCTTGTACGAAATCAGATTCTGAAAGGATAAACAAAGTATTGTTGTATCATATTAATTTAACGACATGCCGGAGTTGAGAACGTGTTAATTCTAATACTTTTTAATACTTGCGTGTTTTAAAACTTTTACAAAAAAGTTCAGATGAAAATAGTTTATATTCGTGTGTAGATTGCATTTCCATCAATTCTAAAATATATACTGATTTGTTTTTATATATATTATATACATATATCGTTATACCAAGTCTCTTAGACTCTAACCAACAATTATTTCTTGTCTGAGATTCGCTCTAAGAATATATCATTCGAGAATTTCTTTCACACATCTTATTCACACACTACGGTCTATTATTGTCACTGTAATTATATTATTTTATTGTACGTGAAGGTATTGAACATCGTATCACGCACGGTTGCTTTAGTATCTACGGCGATTTCAAATGAAATAGATAATGACGTTTGACTTATTAAATATTTTTACAATATGACTATTATTGCATATTATGTAAGTATATAATCGTGGTTATATTATCCATATTCCAAATTTATGACATTTTAGAAAATACACTTGAGAAATATACTTCTCAAGTATTATACAGATAATTATAATATAATATAATATTTGTCGTGACTCGTTATTAGTATAATCCGTGGTTGGATTTAATATTTACACCCGTGTAAGACGTGACTACAAAACTATAATTATTAGTAACTATAAAATAGTCAGTAGATGATATTAGTATATTATATATTTATTAGTATCTCATGGTAGACGTTGCATATAATTTTAGTTTACCGTTAAAATTGTAAGACATTTAAATACATTTTATTCCATAGGTATTGAGTGGAGAGGATACTGAGTGAATCAGAGAACATTCATATCGATAATTATTAATTGTACACATTTTTTTTTACATTATTTGAATTTATTACCTACATGATTTTTTTACTATTTGTCATCGATATAAGTTAACAAGTTTTTACTTTTTGATGAAGAACATTTACTTTTATTTCAATTCGAAAAAAGAAGAAATTTGATACATAAACATTATATTCCGAACGAGTAGTCAATTAGTTATAAGTTATGACTATAAGTTAATTTCTAATCATTGATACATTGTAAAAAATATTTTATTAAAATTAAATAGTAGATACATACTGATATAAATAGGAAAAAAGTACGAAAAATTGAATGTAGTATGTTAATTGGAAAAACAATAACCTAACCTATTTTACATATTCTTTGAGATGTAAAATATTTGATATTAATTTTATATAAACTTACCTATAATCTGTTTTTTTTTCTCTCAACACCTTTTTAGATCGTTAGGTGTATATTTGTATGGTTTTTTGTTAAAATATACAAAAATATGCAGAACATGCACTAACGTCAGAATATGCAAAAATATACACTATAAAATGTTGATATTTTATCAATCAATTAATGATTTGTGGGCACTCATTGACTGCATGTATATGATATTAAAAATAGCAGCATATATTTTATGCGAAATCCGTTCTTTAGTTATAACTTATAGGTATTTTATGCCGGTATCCCGCAAAACGTTAGACATTGGTCCACTACTTGCTCCTCGTCTAAACTTTGAACACTTAAAAGTTAATAATTAATTTAACTACCGGTTTGAAATTTTCAGAAAAACATTCTGTTACAGGGTATACAATTAAAAATGTATGTTATAATTTAAAAAATAAAAAATCTTAAAAAAATCGTGATGTTTAATTTATTTAATTTTAAAATTTTCCTGACCATTGGTTATCTAAACTTAGTGTTTAACAGTAATTTGTTCGTTTTTTGTAGCATTTTTACAGTAGATAATACAATTATTTACAAAAAATTTAAAAAATAATGATAAAAAATTGAAAAAAATATAATTTTATAAAATATTTTCTTGTAATGACTTCAGTATTCAAACAATGTAAGACATAAATTTTAAAAAACGTTAATACTTAAGGATATAATGAGTATTTACTGAAACACCCTGTATAAAATATACCATAATATTATACTGTTATCAGGCAATTATGATGGATTAAGATTATATGTACATTGTACCTACATAATATTAGGTATATTGTTTTATCTACGTTTATCAGGTTGAACTATGCGTGTGGGTCTTTGGGAATATATATTAATTTGTATATGTATTTTAAAGTATAATTAGGGAGCAAATTAATTCCGATTGATATACCTATACTTTATTACCTATAAATATGTGAGTCAAATAATAAATGGTTTATAGCTTATATCCACTAAGGTAAGGTATTTGTCAGACTTTGATACAATATCTCCTTGTATACACGTACAATTAATTTAATGAGGTAACGTGATTAATAATTATTTAATTCTAGTTTATCTTTTATAAAATAAAAACAAACAAATTATTATTATTATTTTTTGGTACGATTTAATAGATCTAATTTTATCGACCACGATTTCTCAAATTATATACAAGCATATTGCCAACAATAAATCATTTTAATTACCTATAGCGTAATGCGACACAACAGGTGTTTAATTTCCATAAAATATTATTATGACATGAAAACTAATCTTCAAAGTTTTGTGTTTATGAATTCAATAATGGACAATAATGTAATGTATTAATATACACGATGTATGGCGTGAATATAAATAATATAGGGCTTAAAATACTGAAAATAGTGTTAACTGCTGTACCGTAGAGTAGTGCAGTACCACATACGATGTGCAGTAGAACATACGGAGTATGCAGTACCAATAATATAACATCATATCTAGTGTAATGTGTACTACATACTTTTTAATGGATTATCAAAATAATCATGTCCGTATTTAACATTTATAGCATATTAATTTTTATTGTAGAAAAAAATTCTTAGTTGCTCGTTTGTTATTAGGGATTGATAAGCACAGTTAGGTTTTATCTAAAAATATAGTGAAACTTGATACGTAATATGGTATTACGGTATTGCCTATCTGATTCCATGTAGATCTGTGAATTTGATGCACTATAATATTATGAAATATTCAAAAATATTCATTAAAAATTCAAAAATATGTGACATTATAAATGTGGGTTGAACGGTAATATTCTAATAAATATTAAATGAATAAATAAAAAAAAATGTACATAAACAAATTTATAATACAAAAAAATGTCTATTATAAGCTTAATTAAAAAAACGTTTTGAATAATTTATGCTAAATAAGCTTTTAGTATTAAAATACCATGGTAATAAATATACCCTGGCTTTAAATTTTGTCAAAACCA